ACACACACACACACACACACACACACACACACACACACACACACACACACACACTACCATCTCCAGCTACACTTGTTTACACAGTGTCAGTTTGGGCAGTGATATTTGTCCGTATAGTAAAGACACAAGCCACTGAACAAATAACGCAAACTTCAAGAAATAATGAACAAACACTTCACCTGGTTCATTGTTAAGGTATAAGACTAAAGAACATTGAACACTGATTTGTGTATGTGTTCAAGAATACTGAACCCAACGAACTGAACTAAAATTGAACATGAGACGGAAAATGTGGAACAAAGGCAGTTTTCTTTCACATGAACAAACCCGTATAAGTGAGCACAGTTTTTTTTTATACGACTGAACAATGAAAATGAACAATAGTGTGAGTGAACTGAGGTGAAGATGAACATGTGGAACAGTATTTGTGCAATAATTTTACTGTTTTTCCTACAATAACAAAAGAAACGAAATTTTGTCCTTCTGAACAAAGATATTGAACACTTTACCCAACGTTCAGAACAGAAAGTGAACACGAGATATTGAGGAACAAACATACTCAGTGGTGTTTTTTTCTTCACTAAGTCAACGGATATGAACAAACTGAACAGCATTATCAACAAAATGAACAAAAAGTGAACAGATAAAAAAATGCCATTAAGTGTTGAACAAACTTACCCTACACCTGAAACAAAAGACAGAATCATATCAAAACAAGAAAAAAAGCAAAGAAAACAAGAAAAACAAATAAAGATCCATCGTTCACACCCTTACAAACAAACACACACACTAGTCGCCATCCCAACGTCCGTTTTCTGTGGCCAAGTGTTGGACAAATACAGAGTGTCAATCCCAGGAGTAACTTTTCCAAAACATTTTAATGAAAGAAAAACAAAAATAAAACACAGGACCAGGGGCTTGTAGACACACTATTGACACGTTACGATATAAAACATAAAAGTCGCTTGGTGTTTTTTTATTTATTTTTATTTTTTTAGAAGACTATAGAGAGATATATGAATTAGTGAAATATAAAACTCATGAAAAAAAAGTGACTAAAAAAATTCCATCTTATGATTTTTGTAGCTTCGTAAAAAAGAGTAACACAATCATTAAAAAAAAATCTTTCTTTTACTTTTGTGACTAAAACTAAATCAATTTCTGATAAAAACAAAAGAAAAAATCATATGCATCTGTGAAAAAAAAACCGGAAAACTGAAAAAAAAATTAGACCAAAAAAATCTGAAGGAAAAAAAAAAAGAAAGAAAATCGAGAATTTATGAAAAAAGAAAACAAAATCTCTCCTGTTTTCGTGAGTTTCTACCTAATGACTAAATCGTTCAGTAATATTTTGAAAGAAAGGAAAGAAAGATGGTAAGATTTCATGTTCGGGAATACTGTACAAGACTATGTAGGGAAAATTTACACCATTGTATTTTCCTTTATTTACCCACAACAACATCAACAACTACAACAATAACAACGACTACAACTATAACAATGACAAGAAATACAACAACAACAACTACAACAATGACAAGAAATACAATAACAACGACTACAACTATAACAATAACAAGAAATACAACAACAACAACTACAACAATGACAAGAAATACAATAACAACGACTACAACTATAACAATAACAAGAAATACAAGAACAATAACGACAAAAACTACAACAACAACAACGACTACAACTATAACAATAACAAGAAATACAACAACAACAACTACAACAATGACAAGAAATACAACAATAACAACGACTACAACTACAACAATAACTATAACACCACCAACAACAACTACAAAAACCACAATATCAACTAGAGCATCAACAAAAACAACAACCACAACAAAACCGATTACAACATCAATAACAACAAAAACCACGACATCAATAACGACAACTAGCTACAACAACAACCAAAACATCAAACAATAACACCCACAATAACAACAATAACTGGGTAGTAATACGTAAATAAATAGTTACTTTATTTACGTACACAAACGACGCCGTAAACCACGATTATGTCACACACACACACACACACACACACACACACACACGATTGATTATTCTCAAGGGGAAAATCGTTTTATTGACTAACTCTTAAATGGGCAGAGCAAGTGTGGTGAAGTGGTGAAGAAGGAGAGATGAAGTGGTGAAGGGGGAGAGATAGTATAGAAGGAGAGGTGAAGTGGTGAAGAGAGAGAGGTGAAGTGGTGAAGGGGGAGAGGTGAAGTGATGAAGAGGAGGATGAGTGGTGAAGAGGGAGAGGTGAAGTGGTGAGTGTTAATGGAGGGGTGAAGTGGCGAAGTGGGAGCGCGTAAGTCTTGTTGAAGTGTAAGGGACGAAGAGGTGATGTTAAGTAGTTATGAATAGTTGTGAGTGGTTATGAATAGTTGTTAGTGGTTATGAATAGTTGTTAGTGGTTATGAATAGTTGTTAGTGGTTATGAATAGTTGTTAAGTAGTTATGAATAGTTGTGAGTGGTTATGAATAGATGTTAAGTAGTTATGAATAGTTGTTAGTGGTTATGAATAGTTGTTAGTGGTTATGAATAGTTGTGAGTGGTTATGAATAGATGTTAAGTAGTTATGAATAGTTGTTAGTGGTTATGAATAGTTGTTAGTGGTTATGAATAGTTGTTAGTGGTTATGAATAGTTGTTAGTGGTTATGAATAGTTGTGAGTGGTTATGAATAGTTGTTAGTGGTTATGAATAGTTGTTAGTGGTTATGAATAGTTGTGAGTGGTTATGAATAGTTGTTAGTGGTTATGAATAGTTGTGAGTGGTTATGAATAGTTGTGAGTGGTTATGAATAGTTGTTAGTGGTTATGAATAGTTGCTAGTAGTTATGAATAGTTGTTAGTGGTTATGAATAGTTGTTAGTGGTGGGCTGGTTTGAGTGGTTATGAACTGATTTAGTGGTTATGAATAGTTGTGAGTGGTTATGAATGGTTGTTGAGTGGTTGCATGAATGGTGTAGTGGTTATGAATAGTTGTTGAGTAGTTTATGAATATTTGTGAGTGGTTATGAATAGTTGTTGAGTGGTTATGAATAGTTGTTAGTGGTGAATAGTTGTGAGTGGTTATGAATAGTTGTGGTGGTTGTGAATAGTTGTGAACATGAATAGTTGGTGGTTATGAATAGTTGATAGTGGTTATGAATAGTTGGCAGGTGGTTATGAATAGTTGTTGGTGGTTATGAATAGTTGTGGTGGTTATGAATAGTTGTGAAATTGATTTATGAATAGTTGAGTGGTTATAAATGGTTGTGAGTGGTTATGAATAGTTGTGAGTGGTTATGGATAGTCGTTAGCAGTTATGAATAGTTGTTGCTTGATTATGAATAGTTGTTGTGATTTATGAATAGTTGGTAGTGGTTATGAATAGTTGTTAGTGGTTATGAATAGTTGTTAGCGGTTATGAATAGTTGTTAGTGGTTAAAATAGTTGTTAGTGGTAAAAAAAAGTCGTTAGCGGTTATGAATAGTTGTTAGTGGTTATTATGAATAGTTGTTAGTGGTTATGAATAGTTGTTAGTGGTTATGAATAGTTGTTAGCGGTTATGAGTAGTTGTTAGCGGTTATGACTAGTTGTTAGTGGTTAATATAGTTGTTAGTGGAAATGAATAGTTGTTAGTGGTTATGAATAGTTGTTAGTTGTTAAAATAGTTGTTAGTGGTTAAAATAGTTGTTAGTGGTTATGACTAGTTGTTAGTGGTTAATATAGTCGTTAGTGGAAATGAATAGTTGTTAGCGGTTATGAATAGTTGTTAGCGGTTAATAATAGTGACGTAGTTAATGACAGTGTGGTAAGTGGTAATTGAAAGTGATTAGGGTTGTTAGTGGCGAAGTGAACAGTTAGTGATGTAAGACTGATTGGTTATTGGTGGGGAGAGAGAGAGATTAAAAGTTATAAAAGTTGGAACTTACAGTGAGAGGTGTGTGTGTGTGTGTGTGTGTGTGTGTGTGTGTGTGAATTAATACAAACATGAGGGAGGCGTAAATGGGCAAATCGATCGTCAATTTATTACCAAATAAACCACACACATACACACACACACACAAACAAACAAACAATCACCCACCACCGACAATTACATACATTAGCTCTGTATGTCCGTCACTTTGTTTACCCATAATAAATGTGTTTACGTGTATACAACGCTCATGCCAAACAATTTCATTCCAGGTTCGATGAAACACTAAAGCAGCGGAGAAAAACAAACACCACCTAAAGCGGATGAGATAACAGCGATAACCCGGAAATAGTTTAAAACACACGTGTGGTGGATAAGGGAGTGAGTAGTGTGGTGGTCGGCCGCGTGTGAGGGAGACAGCTTTATACACACGCCCCAGTCTACGGTACTGCTGCCCCTGTGTGTGTCTGGTTGGGGGTCAGTCGGTTCTGATCCACTTACTAGCTTCTGTGGAGTGGGCGGATTACCTACCCACCTGTGTAGGGTGGATCAGCCCTTCCCTGCTCCACTTCACTCGGCTGTGTGGAGCGGCCAGCCAGGTAGAGTGGATGGAAGACGGAGTGGAGGTGCGATCATTCGTAATCCAGCAGGCTGTGTGGAGTGGGCGCACTACCCAAGGATCTGGGAATTAACGCGCCCTGGCTGGAGCGGATTAACAGCTCTATAAATCAGGGTTATGTAAAGCTGGCGCCAGGTCGGGCCAGAGCATAGCGCGTGTTGTGAGCCTCAACGTGAAACAAATGAATAGATACACACAGTAACGTAACAGTGATTTGTCTTATTGTTGTATGGAGGAAAAAGATAATGAAGTGTACAGAAAGAGACCCAAAAGGTGTAAGAGACTGTTAGCAAGAGCATAATACCGGAGACAAGTGGTGTAGTGTAGTGCGGGGTGGTGTGAGTGTAGTGCGGGGTGGTGTGAGTGTAGTGCAGGTGGTGTGGTGAGTGCAGGGATGGTGTAGTGTAGTGCGGGGTGGTGTGAGTGTAGTGCGGGGTGGTGTGAGTGTAGGATGTGGAGGGCGGGCGCCGGGCAGGCCGTGTTGGAGTGATCCATCAACCATGTGTCCCCCGGGTCCCCTGGTGCAGCTGACCCTCCTGCTGGCCGCTGCTGCCACCGCCAGCAACTGCCCCACCATCTGCTCCTGCAAGTGGAAGCAAGGTAAACAGACAGCAGAGTGCCGAGAGAAGGGGCTCAACACCTTACCTAAAAACATTCCCCCAGCGACACAGGTGCTGGATCTCTCACACAACAACATACAGAGACTGCCACGACTTGCCTTCGCTGAAGAGGGCCTCACCAACCTCCAGAAAATCTACTTGATTGACTGCAAGGTGGAGGAGGTGGACAAGGAGGCGTTTCGAGAGTTGAGTAACCTGGTAGAACTTGAACTGAGTGAGAACAAGCTGCACCACGTGCCTAGCGAGACCTTCAGGTACACGCCGCAGTTGACGGAGCTCTACCTCCGTAACAACCCTATCCAACATATCGACGTGGACGCCTTCATTCATCTGGAATACCTCAAAACTCTCGACCTCAGTGAGTGTTATATCAAGACTATCGCCGCTCGAGCCTTCGAGCCGCTGACAGTGTTGGAGAAGTTAAAGCTTGCCTCTAACAGGCTGACAGAGCTGCAGCCTCGACTTGTTGATAGCTTACAGAAACTTCACCAGTTAACAGTTCACGACAACCCTTGGATCTGTGACTGTCGCCTCAGGAAGCTACGAGAGTGGCTGGTGGAGCGGCGTGTCCCTCACGATGAGTCGCCCGTCTGCGACAAACCCATACGCATCCAGGGTCAAAACTTTGATCAAATGGACGAGGATCAGTTTGCCTGTAAACCAGAAATTCTGCCGACCCAGAGGAAAATAGAGAGCGAGTCGGGGAAGAATGCGACTGTGTGGTGTCCAGTGGGCGGGCTGCCGACCCCGACTGTGTCCTGGAAGGTGCGAGACATAGTGGTGCAGAATGGATCACTGGTGGGCGGAGGCGGCGCCCATGGTTACATCCTAAACGAGGCCAGTGAGGAGCGAGGGAGTCTGCTGCTGGTGGTGGGTGCCAAGAGCCAAGACTCGGGACTTATTATAAAATGCCTTGCCTCAAATGCAGCTGGCAGCACGGCTCAGACCTTCGAGTTGATTGTTTCCCCTCGGTCCTCGGCAGGGTTTTCTGCTGATAAGATTGCTGCCATCTCTTCTGTGTTTGTCGTGGTGGTCGCCATTCTTATCGGCGTGTTCTCTATACTGGCCCGGCGCCGCAACACCCACACTCCTATACCAATAAAGACAGTGACAGTGAACGGGGCGACAGAGACACGCATCGCAAACTTGCCCTACACTCCCTCGGCATACGTCGGAGGCTCAGTGGTGGCCACGACGGACAACCCTGACCTGTTGTGTGAGGCAGACCAGACCTCTGAGGGCGAAGGGGCAGACTGCTGCACCACGGACGAGGGCAGCCAACACTCAACATGCAGCGCTGCTCCCAGACTCAATGGTCAAAGTCGCAGTCACACAGTGTCCCTGGACGGCGACAAGGGGCCCATGAGCTGTCCATTTGACTCTGTATGGGAGCCGGAGCGGGTCCACGCCGTCCTAGACTCAGCGGCGCCGGAGCACGTTATGCAAACGTCTCTACACGAGCCTCCCACGCCCAACTGCGACGCCCTCGTTCAGCAGCGACTCCTCTCCTCGTCTCAACGTCACCTCAACCATCGACTGTCGTACCTGCCAGATTTCGCGCCGGACTACTCTGAGTTGTACTCGTTCAGCCACGTGGGTCCCGGGCACACGTACACTTCCCTCAGCGGCGTCACGGTGCCTCACTACGGAACCATCCCACGTTCCATGAAGATGAGAACCAGCGTCCCAGAAGTCATCCCTGGGGACGGCACGCCCACCCTCATGCGACACCCGCGGGCGTGGCACTACGGCTCAGAGGGCTCGCCCGTGACGTCACACGAGCAGCGGAGGTGTGTGAGCTCGCTATACTCGAGCCCCACGCCCACGCCCACCAACACCATGACCACAACGTGTCTGCCGCCACAGCCGCTACAGAGCCACAGCAATAAGCTGAGTCGCATCACCGCTCGTGACTCTCCCGACGAAGGGTACCAAGAGGGGGCTGACGTCTAGCACTCGTCTCGCGCCTTGAAGACCTTGAGGCGTGAGTGAGGCACTTGTGATGTGAGGACGACCAGGCAGTGCCGTGTCCTCTACTGTGTAAAGAGACGGATAATAAGTTTAAGTACCTCCTGATGATACACTCAACGTGGTGCCGAGTGGATCTGAAAACTTCTTCCTAGAGAATTCCCTAAATATAAGAGTTCCCCCTTAGTGTAAGGGCCGCTGGGCCTCTACCTCGTGCTGCTCATTAAGGGCTCTCACCTGGCGTCCAGATGAGAGGTCAGCACCAAGACCTGGGTCACCACGGCAGGTAGAGGTACAGCGGCCAACAGGTTGGTTGAGTCTAGAGCTTCCAGTGGACTCAGAGACATTGTGACTGTCCATGTATAGCGACTCTGAGTCTCTCTCCGGTAACTCTCCCTGGAGGAACACCTTGTAAACTCGGCCTTATACACACGTCGCTGTAGTCATGTTGTAGAGGACTCTGGGATACTCAAGTCCGATACAAATATTATTTTAGTTTTCTAAACGAAGTACTTTATACAATGGTTTGACATGTACCAAAAACTATGGTATTATTTGTGACTAATGTCTCAACTACCTTAACAAAAGGTGAAACATCATTTATGACTGACCTCTGTTCCCAAACTAGTATTATTCTTGTTTAATATCTGTTTCTGAACTGGATTAACACACACACACACCAAACTAGTATCGGCCGTGACGAGCATCCTAAACTGGTTTAACTCCAACACACTACATGATCTGTGACTAAATGTATCTACATATAAAACGAATCAATTAGCCAACGACACAAGTGTACATGAATCACTACACCAGTTGAGTCATTGTCGAGTACTGTACTGTAGCGTTAAGTTCTCTCAGGTGTGTGACAGTGATCGTCATCATTGGTCTCGTGTCAACACAATCAAACACTAAGGTTATAATGGTCCATTAACACGAATTCTTCCTCATCATTTAGTTATCACTGCCGTGTGGTGATTAACGCCTCGTGACAACCGACAATAAATACACAAAATGATTCCTTTACTTATGAGAAACACTGAGTTGAAAGAGACGCTTAAGAAGGCCACTTAAGGAGGGCTCTCAGAATCTCCTCATTTAATACAAAGCAGGAAACTGGATGAAGGATTTACGAGTGTTGTTGGTAACACTGTCAGGGCCAGTACTAGGTGCTTGTGACACAGGTCCTGGTAACACTGTCAGGGCCAGTACTAGGTGCTTGTGACACAGGTCCTGGTAACACTGTCAGGGCCAGTACTAGGTGCTTGTGACACAGGTCCTGGTAACACTGTCAGGGCCAGTACTAGGTGCTTGTGACACAGGTCCCGGTAACACTGTCAGGGCCAGTACTAGGTGCTTGTGACACAGGTCCTGGTAACACTGATACACAGGTCCCTGGGATAAAGTGACATGGTGTACATTCCAATGTATATAGTATACATAACATACATACATATAGAAAAAACAAACAAACATATATATAAATATATAGATCATGTATAGCAGCTAATTCAACAACCTCTTCTCGTTTATAAACATGAATGCACCCCCCCCACCCCTCCCCGCCCCCCACCCCTCCCCGCCCCCCATAAATAACGACAAATTAAATGAACTAAAATATTGGTTTCAAGCGATAGTCGAAAAAGTCTTTAGCGAATATATTTTTTGTTTGTTTCCCACATCTCCCCTACGAAGCGCTCCATCAGCTTAAATGTGATACAAGCCATTTTGTTCTGGATGTGTACAGACTTTTATCCATTTTCTATGAGGAGTAAGAGACGAAGTGTGTGTGTGTGTGTGTGTGTGTGTGTGTGTGTGTGTGTGTGTGTGTGTACCTATCTTCGTCAACTGTAGGGATGATGGACGAAGAAGGATCCCCCGCTATCCTTTGTAAATCGATGCCCATAAAACCAGTTTGCATTCTCTCCCGTCTAGTGTATCTAATTCAACTAACTCTCTATCCTAACGCCTCTTCTATTACTCTATCTATCCTATTATTCAATCTCTATATTCGTATTGAAATTGAAGGGATTGATTATCTGTGCGCTATAATTAAATACCTGATGTTGTAGACAGGTAGATGACTCAACCCAATCCTTCAGTAACTCTCGTACACGTAAGGACAGGTGTGTGTATGCATTAATCACAGGTGTGTACAGGTAGGTGTGTACTCATATTACCTGTGCAGTATACACCTGACACATGTATTTTACCGCTCAGTATTATACCACACTATATATTATACACAAACCATCTCCAAAATACTGTTCATTATCTTATATTAATTCCTATATAAAGAGTAATTAATTAGTTTTGTTCTGTAATGTAAATGTTAATCCACCTCAATTATATTATTATTATTTGTATTAGCATTAAGTTATTATTATTATTATTATTATTATTATTATTATTATTATTATTATCATTAATATTTTTACTAATATTTATTAGTATTATTTTATTATTATTATTATTATTATTATTTGTATTATTATTATTATTATTATTATTATTATTATTATTATTATTATTATTATTATTATTTGTATTATTATTATTATTATTTGTATTATTATTATTATTATTATTATTATTTGTATTATTATTATTATTATTTGTATTATTATTATCATTAATATTTTTACTATTATTAATTATTATTATTATTTATTGTATTATTATTATTATTTACGTATTATCTGGGGCACAAATGTATGAAAGTATTATTCCTTTAATTCCTAACTGTCACGAAAAGCTTTACTCTACAGCCAATGGCAACTCTCCATGCCATGATTCAACCTCGTTACCAGCCAATCAAAACCCCGGGATTATGGTTGACCGAATGTTAAGAAATGAG